ATATATTTATATATCCACATTCATATCCATAAATATATATATGTGTGTGTGTGTGTGGAGATATTTGTGTGTGTGTGTGTCATAAGTCACCTGAGATGGCTTGTAAAAGTATGTTGACAGAGTCACATACCCTTGCAGTTCGAAAGAGTGCAGCTTGGGTACATCAACGAAGCCACGTTTATTACACTCACAGCAAGCAGACAAGTCGTATCGAACGAAAAAGCACCCACGTCATCTGAGATCTCGTGTAGTCTTATATTGACAGAGTCACATACCTCTCGTAGTTCAAGAGAGCGCAGCTTAGGTACACCAACAAAGGCATCTACCGCTATCGAATCTATATTGTTCTCGTATATCTCGATTTTATCTACCAGGGGCAAGTTGTCGAATGTGCCGCTCTCCAGTGTACCGATTTTGTTCCTGCCCGCATTAAGGTCTCGAGGACTGGCAGATCCTTGAACGTGCCTGGGATGGTTAGATGTTGTTAGTAATGTCTCAATGGAGCGATATGCTGTAACATTTATCAGATCTGTGCACTGCTTATATTGTATGAAAAAAAGAGCAGGCCTTTTCTTTGATACGGATTAGTTTCTACACGGTTTGCATACATCCGAATATGGGTAACCGTATTTGTGTATCTGAAAGTATATACATGCCAAAAGGCCATATACACTAATCACAGCTAGACCCAGATATCGTATCAAAAGTTGTGCGTAGTGGAGTATGTGCGTGTACGTGAAAATGTACATATGAGTTTTAGAATGCATGTGATTGCGTGATCCTCTGATCTGCACAGTGTATAAAGATCTGATTTTTTAAGGTTTGCAGGTACACGCCTGTGCTATAACTCTACCAGAAATATGGCACGAGGCTGGGTATTCAGATTGTAGTGCACTAAAAGAACTAAATGAATACTAAAAGAACACTATGCCAACACCCAAGTACTGCCGCACACAAATATAACACTAGAGGCTCGTGTATCTATGAGGGTACCAGGACTGAGATCGGACGAAATACAATTATCTGAATGGACTTTTTGAACATTCAATAAAGTACTCTATAACAGTTCTAATTCGATTGCATGCATCATCGGAATTGGGATATATTGACTGTCTACCAGATAGTTGATATCTGTGTTCGTTCTATGGCCCAAGGGTAGACAAAAAAAAAGTCCTAATCTTCCCATGTATCAAACACATCGAGATCGAACGATAAAACATACTTAAGAACAGGGATGGGATTGTTTCCCAGGATGATATCCTTCACATTGGGGGCGTCTTTAAACTGGCCAATGTCGAAAACAATTAAATAGTTAAAAATACTTTACATGCAAACACTTTCAACCGAATACCAAACACGCATATTTTGCATACGATAATCAATCACGCACGAAAAGGTGTCTGCACCATACAATTGTCAGAAAAGGTGTCTGTATTGGCGAATGAGTACTTGCAGACGGATAAGTCAATACGTATCAGCGACTTTATGCTCTGGCTGAAGTGAACGTATGCAGAGTATGCTGCAAATAACATGCTATGTAAACGAATTATGATTAGATCGAATGTAAACAAACGTAATATTTTTAATCCATTCGAATATATACAATGGATAGTCAGATAAATGCGAAGTAGAGTGGATATAAATGGCTGAGAAAACACCATACATTCTCGACTGATGTCATTAAACATCAACATATGATCAGGTACTAGAATGCACATATGCTGCAGATACATTGCCTACATCTAAATCACATTAAAATTATTTGAATTTACAGTCAAAATGCCCTACTGGTAATTGCGTTTCCCGATATATCATTGCGCTCTAGATTGGTGAGAGACCCTTGAAAAGATTGGGGTCCAATCCGGTGACAGTTTCGCCCTCATTGTCCCAACAGCACAGGAATACATCCACACATTTTTTTAACGTCAGTTTTTGTGGTGAGCACTGAGTCAATAGCCCGTCTTTTACGTCGAAGGACCTGAGTAAGTTTAAAGGAAGGTCGTTTGAAAACGTCTACTATGCGAGTGACAACATGAGGAAATACACGAGAAATGAAAGAAACTAAAAACCCTAAAATTTCAACTTGTATGCCTAATACAAAACTAAATGGAAATTATGTGAGGCACAGTCGCAGTAATCACGGTTTTCTGCTAGAATCTCTCGATTAGAGAGTAGACAGTTAAATAAATATGTTTTTATTTAGTAGGAAAGGTTAACACGTTTTCTCAATATTTTCATAGTCTCCCAAAAAAAGGACTAGATTTTTTAGAAATATACAATATTTGTGTTTTTTTTTATAAAGCTTTGTCACAAATCTAATCACAGAGTCACAGAATAGAGCCGAGTCAGTCGGTGAGTCGGATAGGTTTATTATTTTATTACCGAGTATGATAGGTCAGTAGATTCTCTCTAAAACGACTAAGAGCGGCTAGAGAGTAGTGAGATAGCCCAAGGCCCCACAGGCCACAAGTCCACAACCCAAGCCCCACTGCCAGTCCCCACTGCCCACAGCCTACAGCCCTACAGTAGTACAGCCCGGCTACAGGGCATACAAAGGGCATAAGTGGAAATCTGCAACAGGCAGGGGTTTAGGGAAATACTAAAATAGATTGATTCTTCTTGATATATAAATATTGTCCATATATAGCATTATTTTAATTCGTATCTATGTTGAGCAATTAAGAATTCACTCTATGACTCTATGTAGCACAAATAGTTCACAACAGTAATGTACATACTACATGGCTCTCTAAATTTGTACCAAAACTGATACGAAACGATCTAAATATTTCTTTCCAGCAGAAAAATTAAAGAACCTAAGAAAGAACTGCCTAAATATTCAATATTCATCAGATGGCTTTTTTATCCATTGTTTTGTTTTGACAAAGCAAAGCAAATATAAATACAATAAAACAATACATTCGTCATAGCCCCTCTAAATAAATAGTAAACTATTATACACTCTATTACACGATATCCAAGAGTATGTATTTATGTAAAAACCCATATCATATCATATCTAGCCTCCTAAAATAATAACTATTTTTTTTAAAACAAAATATTTATAAAAAGTACATATGTATGTCCACCAAAATACTATTTTTGAAAAAGTACACTGCACAGTGCACACCCGCCTTTTTTTTGCCTTTTTTTTCTTAAATATACAAAAAGAAAAAAATGTGTGTAAAATATGCTACAATATCACAGTACATATCTATATTTATGTATTCTACAATAGTTGTATACAACATTTTAGGATAAATACTACATAAAGATGGATACATAGTTACTATGTAATTACATACATACACCGATACACGTCCTACGGTCCTTATTACAAGTATGTATTCTTTCTGGATCTATTAGCTCCACAACCCTCCGGCTCTGCTCAGTGCTCACAACTGTTATATAATATATATTGACTCATGACTAGACTGTCAGTGTCTGACCTCTGACGACTGACAGTCTGACGTTGAGTCTGTACTGAGTACTCTCACTCTGTAGTCACTAAAAAATGAAATATCATTGAATAGTGAATAGTGATATATAGACTGATAGTTTTTAA